CTGAAAATAACTAATTTTGATGCATGTGCTGAAACGCAACTTTCAGAAATGTGTGCATTTTTAAGGTCAAAATGTTGTGCTGTGGATGGATTTTCAGTGCCCCCTCCCCAGCAACAACAGAACAGCCCAAGCCACTGCCGAGTCCGGGTTGGAGCCATCTTTCAGAGACCATAGACTCCAAGCACTCCATGCATTTTGGGTGCTGACATACTTCTCAGGGTCTAGCTGAAAAGGACATATGAATCTACAAACACATCTCTCCCCCAGCCAAACCACTGTTAAAATTGTGCAGTGTTTCCCGCGGGGCATGCCCTGTGAACGTGCTGTTTGTTGAGGTGTATTTGATGGGTAAGGAGCTCGTCAGCTTTACTCAGGACAGCAGTAACAACATCTAGAGTAGTTGTAATGGAAAAAGGGCACGTGAGACCTCCGTCCTAGGAGGAGGCTGTGGCAGGTGCTGCTGGAGTCATGGGTTCTTGGGCAGATCCATGTAGTTAGGCATTGTCTTCACTGTCACTCTGAGCAGAAATGATGCTCGGTTTCATGCTTATCTCAGAGGCACTTTGGACCTTCAGCTCAGACAGGACTGATGGCGAGGGTGCAAGCGGGTGTGAGTGGCTGATGGGCCCTGCACCTTTCCCATCTGGAGAACGATGCCGCGGTGCAAGCACGCCGGTGCTGGGCCATCCTTTGTTCCCCTGGGGGCACGGGGCAGAGAGCCACTGACATTGCCGTCTTGTAGCTCTGCTGGCATTCCCCTTCAGTTTTGGCCATATTAGAAGGTGATCCATTTTAAACTGCTTTTAAAATTGCTTTTTAACTAAGCCAGCACCAGACAGCATGGGCTGACACGTCAGTGTCAGTCAGGCATGTGTATTAAATCCAGCCAAAGGATGCTTGACTCCAACGGAGTGCGCTCACCCTCTCCCTCACGCGTTTAACTCCATGGGATAAGAGCACGCAGCCACGAGCTCCGCGGCAGCCCGAGGCGTGTGAGCACCCTGCCATGAGGCTGATCTGGAAGGTTCAAATCCCCTCTTTTCCTTGGGGCAATGCTTTGAAGGACTTTTGAAACATTGCTCAGCCTAAGACAAGACGTTCGCCCGTCATGGAAGCAAAGCGGTGCGTGCGTTCCTGAGCGTGGTGAGGTAGCATGGTAAGTGACTAATGAGACTTGTCTTCCCTACCTGTATTTATAATGTAAACAGGACACTCCAGTTCCCTAGTCCCAAGCACCACCACTTCTGACTCTCGTGCTCGACAGGGTTATGATGGTAGGGGACGCATGCTGGATTGGAAGGATCCGCTTGGTTCATCTGAAAATACAGATCCATATGTGGCAGTTTCATCCCATAATCATCAAGACAAGAAGGGTAAGGCCTTGGAAATGACATCCTGTGGTGAGGAGGTGGGGGGGGGGGGGGAGGACTAAAGTGTAACTGCTTCCAGCTGGCTCGGAGTAACATGTAATAAAACTCCTGTGCTATAATTAAAAGCTTATCGTAAAGCCTGAAACTAAACAGCCAATCTCAGACTCAGTCCTAGATAATTCACTGCCTGAGGAAACCACACAAAACAAACAGAAGTGTATGCCTTTGCCGTGTGTGCTGTGCATGTGTACAGGAAGGAGGGGAACAGTGGGGATTTAGCTCTCTTTAAACTCCATCTCCCCCATTGTCTGGCAGAGGAAGATCTGTGGCTTCCCATTGTTCTTAAAGGTGCACTTTTGTATTGCCTTGTTGTCTGAATTCCCAAGGCAGCACAGCAGATCTTGGCTAATTTCACGTAATTTCTGTCTCTCTGTGACAGGCAGAGGTACCGAAGGTCTGCTCTAGTACCACTGAAGTAAAACTGATGCTAGACCTAGCCACTGGGCCTAAGTCCCACTGTCTTCAGTGAGACCTGAGCATCAAATACCTTTGAGAGTGGGGGCTGAGGAGGTCATTACCATATTTTAAAAGATACAGAGGTGACTGCTGGTGGAGAGAGATTCTGTGTTGCATTTTTAATGCACCAAAAGTTAGGATTTAGGTGTCATTCCCCAGTGTTCAATCCTGGCTGAAGCATGCTTGGGTCTGACACAAGTGGCAACCCTGCCATTTGGCCTCCACTCCCCCTTTGCTATACCTACAGAGAACTAGGCAGAAAATTACATAAATTTGCCACTTGAACATGCTTCGAGAAGGAGAAGCCTTTCTCCACTCTAAGGCTGGCAGTGCCCCCTCATTCCATCCTGGGCCTCCATCGTCCTCCCATCTCCTTTTAATCTTGTGTCTCAAAGAGGTTAAAACGGTTCTTTTGTAAATAGGGGACTTAGGTTCAAATAGCTCCAATGCCTAGAGAGATCTGAGTCCTTGTTATTCTTCCCCAGGGTGTTCTCAGATCGCTTCTTTCAGTCTCTTCTCTGTTGAAGATGTTTCGCTCTGTATGGACTAATTAAGTACTCAGTGGGCCAGGAGGAGAATGGGTATCAGCAAAACTCACTTGCTGAGTGGTTAGGGCACTCACCAGGGGCAAGAACACACATGAGCTTCAGCCCTTTCTGCTATGAATACTTGATATAGAACACTTAAAATATTAATTGAAATGTGGATTCCAGTCTCTATTGTTCATGCATTTTACATGAAAAACTCATTAGACAAAAGCATCAGCTGTTCCTGGAGAAGCTGCTGGTATGCCAGACCTGCTGCTTTGCACTGTCTGCCCAAACTAGTAGGTTACTAAATCATTCTCCATCCCTTCCATCTGACCCAGTGAATCTTGAATTCTCTGCGTTGGCCGTGGAGGCTTTCAGCAGGGGGTAATGAGCACGTTAACATCACAGAACAGTCTTCAGCAGGGCTGCACAAACAGCTGGTGGCGGTCTCGACTCCGACTGTGAACTCTGCGCCTGTTGTTCACAACAGCCCCAAACACGGTGCCTCCCACAGTCTTGGGATATCCTGGATTTCTCACTCAGCTCCCCAGGACTGACCTCAAAGCGCCTTCCACGGTTCCTAGCCATGAAGGCAATGGGCATCACCTGGCTGACCCATCAGAGACAAAGCCTGAAGCGCTTTTCCAGCTGAGGAGGCCAGTCAAAGTAGGCAGGAGATGCAGTAAAATTTCCTGAAATACCATGGCAAACATTAATCTAGTAGCCTTGGCTTTTAGGCTTGATGACAGGAAATGGAATATGAAGATTTGAATTCCCTCAGTCAGAGGATGCAAACTTGTCTCCCACCTCCCAGCAGTGAGTTTTTCCTATAAAAAAGGGAAAAACTGCCATTTGCTCTTCTCCATTCAACTGGGTTTTAGAAGTGGCCCCAAATCAAACAATTTTTTTCAGAGCTTGATCCTGTAGACATTTGGGGAGAATAACTGCAAAACTAAAGCAAGAAAGTGAATTTCTAGAACCTGATCAGGCATACATGTGAGTTAAGCATAGAGCTCCCCTGCACCCTGCAGGCCCCTGCGCTGCTGAGCTTCAGCAGAGGAAGGATTCCAGGCAGCTGCAATACTCAAAACTGTAACTTAGGCTGCAAAGGACTAGGGAGCTGAAGACGAAAGCTCAGGTTCCTAATTCCTGCTTAAGTTCCGTTTGAGATATTGACCTCATTTTTTAAATTCTTCAGCCCTTGCTCTTCAGCTATAGAAGGGCAATTCAGAAAAAGTAATTTCTGGGTATCTCGTATGTAGAGGGAAGGCAGGTAAGTCTGCATGCTCTTCTAAAGATGTCATGTGATTTACCTAGCACTCCTCTTTCCTCGCAGCAATAAATCAGTGGCAATGCAGACAGCCAAAAAACAAGGCTTTTTTCTTTTTCTGTCCAGTCTTTTAGTAACATCCGGTATTCAAAATACTCGAGGGGAGAGGACATTTCTTAGAAAATCTTGTGTTCCCTCTTCTGAAAGTAAGTGGTATCTTTCTCTCCTCTGCCATGAGGGGAGGGGATGTCATTAAGCAGATTTGATGAGGAAGGAAGGAAGAGGTCCTTGAACCCAGCTCTTCTGCTGGCGTCAGACAGGGGAGCATTGTCAGAAACCACCGATAGTGGAAGATCTGGCCCTTTATGTACCCAGAGGAATGTAGAGACGTGCATGCATTTTCATGGCACTATTTGTTATGTGTGGGTCCCTACTTCACAAATCTTTTGCGAAGCAATGCTTAATAGGTGGAAAGCTAGCTCTTAAAACATCTTGCATGCCAGTAGCAGCTTCCAGAAGAGCATGCAGTGAAAATATTAATAAAAGTGTAGCTGTTGGATTCTAATAATTTTCGCTTCAATTCACTGACTGATGAGGTGGCTTACATTCAATAGTTCCCTCCCCAGGGATTGATGGTTACCAGAGAGCCTTATTAGCACTTGACAGGGTCATTTAAATATCATGCATTCTTTGGTGCCTAATTATGAATATTGACAAAGCTGGAAGCAGTCTACACGCAATCAAAACAATGGTGGCAGAGGTGACCGCATGGTTGTTTACCATTACCATCTACTTGTGTGTTGTTACTCCTTGCCTTGCCCAGTCAGAGCTTGTTGGCTCCAAAATTACTATTGATTTGTTGTTTTAAAAGGGCAAAGGAAAGAGTTCTTACACAAAAATAAATGAGAAAATGTTACACTTACTATCCTTTTGTCAAGATTTTGTTTTCACTTTTGCTGTAATTTCTTTTACCTTCACACATTCACAGAGAAAATATGTTATCTTTTTTTTTTTTTTTAAACATTTTCTCTTTGTTTTGCAAGGTGCTTTGTGGTGTTCTTCATTGGTTGTGTCTAATCCTTTGGACAGTGTTTTCTTTCTTTTCCTGTGCTCACAAATGACTTCTTACCAATTGTACTACTTGTACAGAATCCACTTGCTGCTTTCTTTTCTGTAACACGGGTGCTTTGATGATGTCACATCCATCCATATGCTTCACTTTTAATTCAGTGCAGGCATCTTGGGGAATATCTGTGGGGGCGTGAAGAGGGGGTTCTTTAAAAGGGTTGACTCATGGGAATGTGACATTTGTGTGCCACAGCTTTAGTAGCTAAATATACTCTGGGATTGTTGTTTCTGAGCTACATCACATTTCTTGCCAAGATGAAAATGTGTAGTGCAACCCATAGAGTGGGAACCATGCGTTGCCATCCCACTGGCATTTTCAATTTGGCCATTAAGGAACCTGCCCTTCCTATTGCAGAGCAAAACAAAACAAAACAAAAAAATAATCAGCTTTGATTGGGCAAACTGCACCCCTCTTTCCTCTTCTCCTCCATCTCCTCCCCAGAGAAAAAAAAAAAAAAAAAAAAAAAAGAAAAATGTTCTAGAGTATGTTTATGTTTTGTTTCTTTTCTTGCTGTGTTTTAGTGTTAATTTAATTGCGTGTTTCTCACCTTTGTCGAAACAGTCTCCCTAACCTCGCCGCCTAACCTTCCCCCCTGCTGCCATTGTACTCGGTCTCCCTCCCTCCCCAGTGGTGACACTGCCCCATGGAGCGCTCCAAGGCTTTACCCTCCACACCCCAGTAGTGCCGCACTCCTGTGTCTCTCTGTAGTTGTCCTACTAACGAAGGGGGGGAGTAGGCACGTACCGTTCGTAGAGAGGCCTGCCTGAAGAAAACCAAGTGATTTTCTTCAGGAGTAGCTGGCCTTGCCCCCTCGTTACCCTCTGCCCTTCTCTGCTGCCTCCTGTCCTTCCTGCCTCCCTTCAGAAATGCCTCACGCCTTTCAAGTCCTGGGTTCATTAATGCAAATGCAGCCACAACTGCTCAGTTTTCTCACTCGCTCCCTAAATGCCTGGAGCTTGCCTTTTAATCATGGTGTTGATAAATCGGTTGCAAATTCAGCTTGCGATTTGGTGGTTCTGCTACAGCTTCTTCTCTGCAGCATTCAGGTGGACAGTTAGTGGGCTTAATGTTTGTATTTTTACTTGTCTCAACACTCATTAAGTGAAGATTATGAAGTGGTGTCTCCTTTCCTTAACAAGGCTTTTGTCGACATCCAAGTAACGACAGTAAAAAGCTGATTAGAAGCGGGATGTGATGGACACAATTTACAGTGTGAAGAGTTGCTGGGGTGTTTGGATCTCAAGAACACTCCTGTAGATAACAGTATCTGGTAGAACTTGTATTGTAGAAGCTATATTATTGTTGTTATCATTATTATTAATAATATTAATAGTATTAATAAGAATAATAACAATAATAATAATAATAATAACTGCAGCCCTTCCTCTGGCACAGAATTAGACATTAGCAACAGTCAACCCCTCCATTTCAAGAGGGCTGTGCTGTTGGGGAGCCCAGGGGCTGTTCATTTCAAAACCTGATTCCAGAAGGTATTTCATATTGTACACAAGTGGCAGTGTTACTAAATTTTACTGTGATTATCGCTACTTGAAAGATT